AAAGTTTGTAGCACGTGGCCTTCCTTTCCATAGGCTACAATTCTGCGATCACAGCCTGCAGCCACGATGCTGTTGGTTGCCCAAGCCAAGGCATAGGGTGGGCATGGGTGGTTAACCAACTTCCCCTAAGACAGAAGTAAAGGGTTCCAATCGCTCTGACTCTGACAGCCTCAGCCAGGGATTCTTCCTTTCTAGGAAAAATTTATACCCTGTATAAATCTTCCTCCCAACATTTTCCCACCCCAACACATCCTAATCTGGAGAACTTCACAAACTGTCTTTAGGTTTTATACTCTTACACACATATGTATGACATATACACACACGTCTGACATTGTCCTCAAGAGGAAACCTGAAAAGGCTTGTATGTTGAATTCTTTAGTAAACACCTATAAGGCCCCCAAAGGGACATATCCTACACATTAACTAACACTGGGTAGGTCCACATGGAGCATACAACTCTTTCTTTACAGGAGAAATAAATTTAATTATTACATGAGTAATTCTCTTTTTTAATCTCTTTTGGCTTCCCATAAAGTACGAATTTCTCTTTCCTGCCTTTAATGTTATATTTTTAGGTGGGAGTCAAAAGGGAAGAGGAGATTCTCTAGTTTCAGGGAGAGTGCTGTAGGCTAAGGCCGGATTTTTCCTAGTTTGGAGAAAGTCACCCAGGCAGAAAGGGGTTACTTTTTTTTTTTTAAAGTTTTAGTTATTTAAGTAATCTCTACACCTAATGTGGCATTCAAACTCACAACCCTGAGATCAAGAGTCACATGATCTACCAACTGAGCCAGCCAGGCCCCCTTGACAAGTAATTCTTAAGGTAAGTTATTCAAACAATAGAGAATTACATCAAGTAAAAAATAAACATTCCTTTTATCCCACACCCTCTCCCTTTTCTCTCTTGAGAATGACTTTTTTTTCTATGAATTTATACATATAAAAACACTTTTTGCATAGATAAGAATAATTTTCACTTTCCCTTACTCTCAGAATCCTCCTTGCCCACAAATATTAAGCTGTGACCTCCTGAATGAAAATTCTCTCTGTGGCTGCATCTAAATGTGCCCCCCGCCAACCACCTCAATCTTAATGTTCAACCTCCCCTAGGAGGGATCTTGGCTTTCTTCACCCCCATCTCACAGCATCCTTTAGTCATACCTGTGACTCTCCAGAGCCTTCATCATCGAAGAAATACCTAACAATGGTGCCATCTGCATGACCAGAGAGAATTCCTTTCCCAGAGGGACTAAAAAAGTGAGTGTATAAAGGAAGAGGAAGAGGAAGAAAGAGATTACTCTGTCTCACCAAGAAATCCCGCTTCTGTGTCAAACATTACCCTACCTGGGCTCCCTGCTACCAGTCCTCCCCGTCTTCCATATTATAGTCTCCCAGTCCCGACATCCCCATCACTTCTTCCTACGTCTCCAAGCTTGGGATACTGCTCTTCCTTACTCACTTTGTTGTCAGTGATACGACGTAAGAATCTGTCCCACAGGTGGTAGATGATTTATTAGTTTTAGTGTTTGCTAAACGAACCTGAAAATGGGAAAATGGATACAAGTCTGGTTAGGCTCCTTTCAATCCCACCCAGATCGTAAGGAAAGAAAAAGAAATAACAAAAAACTGGTCCTTCCGTTTTCTCCCCCAATATATAACTCGACCCTAAGGGAGACATTTAACCGTATTTCTCTCTCCAGAACCATTATCCTCACCCACAACCTCTCCTGTGTTTCTCTTCCTCCTTTACCTTCCCTTCAGCCAGTCCAAAAACAATGATGTGCTCTGCTGGCCACTGCAGAGAGGTGACAGCACTCTGGAAGGAGGAAATCATGAAAAGGATAACCCTGTCCATGTAGCCCAGCGCATTTATAACAAACGGAACCCCCCGCCACATGCCACCACCCCAGTCGCCTACAGCGGAGAAGAGGACACAGCCAGGATCAAGGAGGAAAGCAAGGAGGATGGGCAGCCACGCAGCACCATCCTCCATCCTCTCAGTTGGAAAGGTCAGATGGACAAGTTAAAAGTGCAACTTCTGGTTACATTTATAAGTAGCTATATTGATATATGTTTGCTCATCCAAATCTCACAGAGACAGGACTGAACTTTACCGTCTGGATGAATTTGTTACAGATGACTTTCTTGTCACCCCTGCGAAATAAAAGGAGGGAAAACATATTAAAAACACTTTCACAAAGAAAGTGCCACACGTGATGCTGGGGGAAGGGAAGAAAGACCAGATACATTCCCTGCTCCCCCTAATGTTTCCTTCCATTCCATAGGAGCTTTGAAAGGAGGCATAAAATGGAGCCCGAGCAGTTTTAGAACAGGAACAAAGATGCTGTATCACCAAGGGCTCCCATCATAGGTCCTCATGCTGACCTTAGGCTGATTCCACCAGGGATGGGATCTCACAACACATGAGGCAGGCACAGATAGGGAAGCAGCAACAGACTCGGGAAGGCCTTTGCTCTCCACATTCCAGCCTGGACCATCATCTTCTCTACTCCCCTTTCCCCAATGAGACATTTCTTCCTGCCTTCCCCTTCTTTTCCAGGTCACCCCCACCTCCCAGTCTCTATCCTCACCAATCTTCGCCAATCTTGTACACATAGATGATGTTGTCGGTCTGTCCTATGGCAATTTTAGTGGAATCAGGAGAAAAAGC